TAGTGCTCGTTTATTCGTATACCTAGCGGCCTTCCAGTCTCTCCGATATATGTGCGTCCACACGCCAGACATTCTATTTGGTAGATCACACCCGATTTAGCGCAATCACCGAGTCTGCCGTGTGGACAAATAACACAATCTCTAGATATGCACTGTTTATCGTACAGCCTGTTTCGAACCAGTTGCTGCTTGATGTTGCAGCTGGGGATGTTAACCAACTGAACAACATCTTGCAACTGTGCTCTAACAATGCTTCGTTGTATTGCAGTGCTTATCGTATCGGAGATAAAAGGAAGGCATAGCGGTAGTTTGTTTGGACGCGGGCCTTCTCGCATATTAGAGCGCTGTCCTCCAGTGCGTTGTGGTACCGTATAACCGTTCATAGCAGCTATCTCACAAGCTAGGCGACGTGATTCTTGACGTTCAGCTTCGCCTGTGCACATACTCGTTGCTGTTCTCAGCATGTTGTTAATAAGTGCACGTTTAACGGCTTGTGGATGAGCTGACGTAGCGTGGAGCAAGATATTCTTTGAACTGGCTTTACGGTACCACTTCACGCTGACAATGCCACTGGATACTTTTACTTGCGTGTTGAGGTAAGGAAGCCAACCGTCATGTGGTGTTTCTCGTGTGAGTCTAATGTACTGCGACTGCTCATTCATTATCCGGAAACACTCGTCCATTTCGGACTGTGTTGACGTTATGATGAAACAGTCGTCGATGTATCTGCAGTACATTATCGGATGACGTAGTAGCACTGGTTCTTCAATCCTGCCCATGAAGCAAACAGCAAGAACCGGTGCTAGTCGTTGACCCATGGCCAGGCCTCTTACTTGTGAAAAGTATGTTCCTGCCCATTTGAAGATGTTGCAGCCTAGGCACTCCTTGACCAACGTTATTATGTGCACTTTACTGAGCCCAAATGTTTGTATACTGCTAGCATGCCTATCGAGCATTTCGGACAATGCCTGTAAGGCCTGCTCGTTTTGGACATTGGTGTAAAGTGAAACAACGTCGAAAGATTCAATTACAGTGCTCCGCCCGAGGTC